ACTAACTAACTAACTAACTAACTAACTAACTAACTAACTAACTAACTAACTAACTAACTACTAACTAACTAACTACTACTAACTAACTAACTAACTAACTAACTAACTAACTAACTAACTAACTAACTAACTAACTAACTACTAACTAACTACTACTAACTACTAACTAACTAACTAACTAACTAACTAACTAACTAACTAACTAACTAACTAACTAACTAACTAACTAACTAACTAACTAACTAACTAACTAACTAACTACTAACTAACTAACTACTAACTAACTAACTAACTAACTACTAACTAACTAACTAACTAACTAACTAACTAACAACTAACTACTAACTACTAACTAACTAACTAACTAACTAACTCTAACTAACTAACTAACTAACTAACTAACTAACTAACTAACTAACTACTAATAACTAACTAACTAACTACTAACTACTAACTAACTAACTAACTAACTAACTAACTAACTAACTAACTAACTAACTAACTACTAACTAACTAACTAACTAACTAACTAACTAACTAACTAACTAACTAACTAACTACCTAACTAACTAACTAACTAACTAACTAACTAACTAACTAACTAACTACTAACTACTAACTACTAACTAACTAACTAACTACTAACTAACTAACTAACTACTACTAACTAACTAACTAACTAACTAACTAACTAACTAACTAACTAACTACTAACTAACTAACTAACTAACTAACTACTAACTACTAACTAACTAACTAACTACTAACTAACTAACTAACTAACTAACTAACTAACTAACTAACTAACTACTAACTAACTAACTAACTAACTAACTAACTAACTAACTAACTAACTAACTAACTAACTAACTACTAACTAACTAACTAACTAACCTAACTAACTAACTAACTAACTAACTACTAACTAACTAACTAAACTAACTAACTAACTACTAACTACTAACTAACTAACTAACTAACTAACTACTAACTAACTACTACTAACTAACTAACTAACTAACTAACTAACTAACTACTAACTAACTAACTAACTAACTAACTAACTACTAACTAACTAACTAACTAACTTAACTAACTAACTAACTAACTAACTAACTAACTACTAACTAACTAACTACTACTAACTAACTAACTAACTAACTAAACTAACTAACTACTAACTAACTAACTAACTAATTAACTAATTAACTAATTAACTAACGACTAACTAAGTAACTAACTAACTAACTAACTAACTAACTAACTAACTAACTAACTAACTAACTACTAACTAACTAACTAACTAACTACTAACTAACTAACTAACTACTACTAACTACTAACTAACTAACTAACTAACTAACTAACTAACTAACTACTAACTAACTAACTACCTAACTAACTAACTTAACTAACTAACTACTAACTAACTAACTACTAACTACTAACTAACTAACTAACTAACTACTAACTAACTAACTACTAACTAACTAACTACTAACTACTAACTAACTAACTAACTAACTAACTAACTAACTAACTAACTAACTACTACTAACTAACTAACTAACTAACTAACTAACAACTAACTAACTAACTAACTAACTAACTAACTAACTAACTAACTAACTAACTAACTAACTAACTACTACAACTAACTAACTAACTAACTAACTACTAACTAACTAACAAACAACTAACTACTAACTAACTAACAACTAACTAACTAACTACTACTAACTAACTAACTAACTACACTAATACTAACTAACTAACTAACTAACTACTAACTAACTAACTACCTAACTAACTAACTAACTAACTAACTAACTAACTACTAACTAACTAACTAACTAACTACTAACTAACTAACTAACTACTAACTAACTAACTAACTAACTAACTAACTAACTAACTAACTAACTAACTAACTACTAACTAACTAACTAACTAACTACTAACTAACTAACTAACTAACTAACTAACTAACTAACTAACTAACTAACTAACTAACTAACTAACTAACTAACTAACTAACTACTACTAACTAACTAACTAACTAACTAACTAACTACTAACCTAACTAACTAACTAACTAACTAACTAACTAACTACTACTAACTACTAACTAACTAACTAACTAACTAACTAACTAACTAACTAACTAACTAACTAACTAACTAACTAACTAACTACCTAACTAATAACTAACTAACTAACTAACTAACTAACTAACTAACTAACTAACTAACTAACTAACTACTACTAACTAAACTACTAACTAACTAACTAACTAACTAACTAACTAACTAACTACTAACTAACTAACTACTAACTAAACTAACTAACTAACTAACTAACTAACTAACTAACTAACTAACTAACTAACTAACTACTAACTTAACTAATTAACTAATTAACTAACGAACTAACTAAGTAACTAACTAACTACTAACTAACTAACTAACTAACTAACTAACTAACTAACTAACTAACTAACTAACTAACTAACTAACTAACTAACTACTAACTAACTAACTACTAACTAACTAACTAACTAACTAACTAACTAACTAACTAACTAACTAACTAACTAACTAACTAACTACTACTAACTAACTAACTACCTACTAATACTAACTAACTAACTAACTAACTAACTAACTAACTAACTAACTAACTAACTAACTAACTACTAACTAACTAACTACTACTAACTAACTAACTAACTAACTAACCTAACTAACTAACTAACTAACTAACTAACTAACTAACTAACTAACTAACTAACTAACTACTACTAACTACTAACTAACTAACTAACTAACTAACTCTAACTAACTAACTAACTACTAACTAACTACTACTAACTAACTAACTAACTAACTAACAACTAACTACTAACTAACTAATTACTAACTACTAACTAACTAACTAACTAACTAACTACTAACTACTAACTAACTAACTAACTAACTAACTAACTAACAACTAACTACTAACTAACTAACTAACTAAACTAACTACTAACTACTAACTAACTACTAACTACAACTAACTAACTAACTAACTAACTACTACTAACTAACTAACTAACAAAACTAACTAAACTAACTACTTACTTACTAACTAACTACTAACTAACTACTAACTAACTAACTAACAACTAACTAACTAACTAACTGACTAACTAACAACTAATAAAAACTAACTAACTAACTAACTAAATAACTACTAACTAACTAACTTAATGACTAACTAACTAACTAATACAATTCCAAAACAAGTAAGAATATTTATAGTTGGGCCTATGGCCGATCTTATGATACCCTACACCAGTGATTAGTTGATTATTTCATTTCATTTCATCTTAACTCGAAAAATTTAAATAATTCTTTTAAAAGAGGAGTATAGGGGGGAGGGGGTTAATATGGCCCTATCCTTATAACTTCTGGTAGTGGGATTTACGTCTACATTAAAGTTATTCATTCAGAATATTATCGTGATATAAGTGTTTATAAGTGAATTTTGACCATCAAGTCATTTTCTTTCTTGTACTGGGAATAAGGCCAAATGAAGAAGTATGTGCCAAATTTCATTAAATTATTTTGAAAATTGCGACCTGTAGAGTGCGCACAAAGTTTACATGGACTCACAGACGGGCGTAGCTAAATTGACTCAGAAAGTGATTCTGAGACGATTAGTATATTTTAAGGTGGATGTAGGTCCAATATTTTTGGGTGTTACAAACATCAGCTCAAGCGCACCACTTTAGTGGTGTAGGTTATAAAACATTATTTCGCTTTTATATTTAGTTCGATATTTCAGCAAATAACGTCTCGTATATGTTGAAAACAGTCAAAAGTTAGATTTAACACATCTTAATACTTTAGAATATCTACTTTGGTCTGCGCTATCTGTTCATCTGTTCAATCCGTTTTGAAAAATTTTATAGCAAAAAAGTTCTCATATAAACATTTTCATAAAATACTTACCGGATTTTTATATTGTTGCCAACTGCCAAGTGACTATATAACTATTTTTCCACTAATTAACACAAAACTATTTGTTTAAAGTTTAAGATAAAAAATCTCTAATAACATTTATAGTTGTTTGTAACTTCTGTTTATTATAAACAAAAATAAATTATTTTATTTATTTATTTTTTTTTCCTTTACTTTGTTCAGTTTCTAATAAAATTTGTATATAATAATAATAAAACATAATAAACAAAATAAGTCAATAATTATAAAGAAAACAATAACAAAAAGTAAAATAATAAAATGTTAATAAATTGAAACATTTCTAAACAACAATAAATAGTGATGATAATAATAATTGTGATAATTTAATAATAAATAAATATGTATTGATTCAAATATGTATTTCTAACTAAGTAGTTGTTTATATAAATATATAAATAAATAATTATGTTTATTAAATTTGTATATAAATTAATGCAATAACTAATAAAACATTTCAATTGTTTGGTATCAAAAAAACTAAATGTTTTTTTTTTTAAATTGTATTTTTAACATATAAATTTTTGTTTTAAATTAATGTAAAAAAAAACATTGTTTGCAAAAATCAGTTTGTTTGTTTGTTTTTTATATAAATAAAAATTAATAATTAATAATTTTTTAATACATATACACACACCCTTAAGTGTGTGTATGTGTTTGTATATATTTTCTTTTTTTTTAATATTAAATACACATATACATTTGTTTTGTTTTTTTTTTTATAATTTAATAATAGTTTCATAATCTTTTTTTTTTTTTTTTGTTAATTTTTATCTAAATTTTTCATATTTATTTGAATATTCTCTAAATATTGTTTTGTTTCTCTAGTTTTTGTTGTTGTGTTTGTTGCTGGATTTCCAAAATGATTTATGAATTTTTTTAGTTTATACCAAATGTTGTATTTGCATTATTTTTCTTTTAATTTTTTTGTTGTTTTCAGAAGATTTGTTTTGAGTTTTTTTTTTTGTTTGCTTTTTGGTGCTAAATGTAGAACTTGTTTGGTTTTATTTTAGGTTTTGAACTTCAAAATATTAGTTTTCTATAAATCTTAATTATTATTATTATTACTTTTTTTGGTTTTGTTGTTGTTTGTTTTATTAGACATACTGGTTCCATTTTTGGTTTGAAATTATTTGGCATTTTTTTATTGCATTGATTCTCTACTTGTTGTTGCTGAAAATGTGGTGTATGAATTCATTAACATCTGTCAAGTTCTGGTTCGTGGGTGCCAATGGGTGCTTTGGATTCATACTTTGCCCTTTTGTGGAGTGGTAGGTGTGTTCTATATCAATTAGATCTTGTTGTCTGTGTGTAAGTGTGTGTTAAATTAAACTATTCCATAAAATAACTAAAACTACGACGCTTCTTTTTAGTGCTGTGAATGGATTTGGGCATAGTTTTCAACCTTAGTTACCCGGATTTAATCCAACGATCTATCGAGTATTCAAGGGCGGATATCCATCTGTAAAGAAATTATATCAAAGTAATGGTTTTTGCTGAAAATGTTGCATTTTATTGAGTACAAACGAATTTTTAGTGGAAAATATATGTATTTTTAATAAAATATCTAATTTTTAGTAAAATATCGAATTTTTAAGATTTTTAATGAAAAATTAAAAATTTTGGGTCTTCCTATGATTCTAAAACGATCTAGCTATGTCCGTCCCTCCGTCTGTTGTAAATTTTCCCAAAATATTCTTAATTGATCAGAAATGGTGTAACAACCTAGCAAAAAAAATAACTTCCAAAGAAGCGAAAAAGAAGTAGAATTTACTCCATGGAAGTATTGAAAAAGAGCTGAAGAAGTGATGATTTTAACACAGACTTGTCATAGGAGGGATCCTTTTTATTTGATTCCAAATTCACTACTTTTGAAGTCATTCTCAAGAAGTAATTTGTATGCTCTTTTTTTGGAAGCTTATTCGGACTTTTGACTTAAATAATTTTAACATTAATGATTGTAATAGATACATTTAATAAAACAGAAGCCCAAAGGTAAAATTTTTTTATCTCCCAAGAATGTAAGAACAAAAAAATATCTTCAACTTTGAAAAAATATAATTATTTTCGCATTTTCGGAAGTCTTTAAACATCACTTCCTCAGAAGGTATTCACTTAGTGCTACTTTTAAAGCGGTGATAAATGTTATTCTTTTGGAAGTACTTCGTTTTATATTTGCTGGGAAGGTTCAAACATTCATAAATATGTTGATTATGTAGCAATTGCTGTAAAGTCACAAGTAAATTTTTTGCTTCCATAAATTAAATTCTGAATTATGGCGGAAATCGGACCATAATTGACCCATACATCCCATATAAGGTTCCCTTCAAAAAATTATTATAACGATCAGCATAGCAATTTAATGAGACACGAACAAGTTGTATATAAACTGAAATCTTTGCACAAATTTTAAGAGGATCGGTCCACACTCAGCAAAAATAAAACGAAGTACTTCCAAAAGAATAACATTTATCACCACTTCAAAAGTAGCACTAAGTGAATTTTTTCACCTTTTGTAGAAGTGAAATTTAATGACTTCCGAAGAAGCCTATTTCCCCATATTATTTAAGTCAAATTAGTTGTATTCTATAATGCTACGATTTTACTTCCAAATAACTTCCAAAAAATGAACATAAAAATTACTTCCTGAGAATAAATTTGGAAGTAGTGAATTTGGAATCAAATAAAAAGCCTGTGCTAAAATCATCACTTCTGCAGGTCTTTTGCAATACTTCCATTTAGTAAATTCTACTTCCTTTTCGCTTCTTTGGAAGTTTTTTTTTTTGCTGGGAAGGTCACCTGCAGAAATGACTTTAACGCTCACTACTGACTTAAAAATGTATGTATGGCGATTAAATTCCTTAAAAAAAATGTTTATGGGAATCAAAATCTCTCTGCCAAAATTATGAGGATCGGTTCGTAAGTGATCCTACCGCCAATATAAGGTCCCCTGCAGAAAAGACTTTAACGCTCATTACTGATTTAACAATAACTATATGGCGATGAAATTCGATATAAACAAGTTTTATAGGAAATAAAATCTCTGCCTCTGATGGGTCCATAATTGACCCTATCCCCTAAATAAGGTACCCTTCAAAAAAAATGATATTAACGCTCCTTAAAAGCCTAAAAATAACTGTACAGTGATTAAATTCTACATAAACAAGTTCTTTAAGAACATAAATTTCTACATAAGTTTCCTTTTAGAAAATTGTATCGGTTCATAATTAACCCACATAAATTTTTGTTTCTACATGGTTCCAATAATTTAGTATTATAACTAATTAAATTTAACTCTCCCTTTTAATTTATAAGATATTGATTCATAATGCACACAAGACCCTTTTGAGACCCTATTCCGGAAATCATCTAGTACTAAATCTCGAAATTTAAAAAAAAAAATCATAAACTGCTGAATTTTTTTAACTTAATTTTCTATTTTCGAACATAGTACTGCTGTCACTATAAATGCCAATTCGCTCAAAATGCGATTAGTATTTTGGACCTAACTTCACAATAGAATTCTGGGAAAATTTACTTTACACTCCACGACTTTTAACTTCTTTGGTAGTTGGACTCAATCTTAATGGAAAATTTAAGTTATTGTGGTCCCATTTGCTAAGACTATGATGAGATATGTTCCGATCTTAATTAAATTCAGAACATTCTTAGAAATCCCAAATTGGAGTTAATTTCAGAACATTATTAATATTAACAAGTTATCAGTAATTATAGTATAATAATTGGAACTAAGATCCTTCTGAATTGTTCATCAAAGCTTACTGTAGACACAACTTATCTCTACTAAAAAATAATTAGAGCGATAAGATAAATATCGGATCAAGTTGATATTGGGGTCTGGGGACCAACATACATATATATACGAAATACTTTAGTAACGATTTTGTTAATGTAAGGCTTATTTTTACTCATTCAGTTCTAGAAATCGAATTTTGTTAAGAATTAAAGAATTAAATTAAATCTATTCTGACATTTGCGTTATAATAGTCTGAAACTTTGAGACTTTGACAAGAACTTAATTTAACTGAATAACACTTTTTTTTTAACCAAAGTAAACTCACCTCTTCTTTTCCATTTCGGATTCGGTATAGAAATAATAATGTCTTAATTTCGGTTCAGGTGGTACAATTTCGAAAGAGTTCTTTTTACCCGAAGCGGCCGCTGACATAGAGGAGACTTTATAGCCATGTAAACACACCATGCCTAAAGATTTAAATAAAATATTTTAACATTATCATTAACATGATATTAATTACACAGAAAACCCACCCAAAGCAGATTTTGAATTGGCATCTTGAAAGAAATAGAGACAGGCATCTTTTAAAACACAATAACGTTTCGACCAGCCACACCATTTCGAGCCCAATTTCATTAAATAGCCAAAACAATCGGGACGTGTAATGCTGCTGGGTTGTTTATAAAGATTGCGGGCGCTGAGAATATATGGAAGCTATAAAAATAATTATTCTTTAATATGAAAGCAATAGCTGAACTTGCCTTTTATCCAGCCAGGCATTATCTTGATTGGCGGCCTTCTTTAATATATTTATCCAGCGATTGGCCATTTCCTCATTATCGGCTGCCACATACATGGGTATACCCTCACCTGAATCAACTTTAAATGCATAGGGTTTACCAATCTTAGGCGGACATGATTCGACTATATGTTTGGCCATAATCATGGCACCCACGGGTTGAGTATCCTAAAGAAAAGAACAAAATTTCAAAATATTTGAAGTTTAAGGAAAAAAAATGGCTGCTTACCTCTTCAGTCTTGTAGTAATATAGACAATTGTCTGATCGCAAAACAAACCATCTTTGTACCCATTTCTTAGTATTAGGCGATCCCTTGGCCTGACCACTTTGCCGCCATAAATAGCCGCTGTAAATGACTTGTATCGGTGGTTCTTGTTGTTCATTCATTAGCACACCCAAAGTACGGGCCACTTCCAGCTCAAGTTTTTCACAACCATCATGGGCTATTTTCACCACTTCCGTATGATGTTTATCCAAAACTTTAACACCATTTACCGATATAATAATATCACCCACTTCTAGACCACTACTTTCGGCTGGAGTATCGGGTTCTATGGCCGCCACTACTACCGGCTTAGAGCCATGTATGCGAAAACCAAATTCTCCCGAATCACTTTTAACCACAACGGTTTTGTCCACTCCTGGAAATAGCAATAAATTTTATTATAAAATCTTGTAATAATTAAAAAGGAAATTTTTATTTATTTATGTTTTTTTTTAAAGTTTTTATAGTTTCTCTACCATATTCTCCCTGTGTTAATTTCGATAGTACATGACCTTCTCGGGCCCATACCAGTAACATTAACTTTAAAATTTCCTCTAGTCTACGCCTCAGCGAATTTTGTGCCGAATTTGAGGTGATCAATTCTAGAATATATAAAATAAAACGTAGGTCAAGATTTTCATTTGAAGTTCGATTGTTCGCTATATAGCAGCATTCCAATAATGAAATTTCAAATTCTTTGCAATTACGCACCCAACATTATTTTGTTGATTTCTTTACGATTTGTTCGTTTGTTCTAGTTACTTCAATGGCTGAGGTTGTTGTAATAGTGCCGTAATCATGTAAATTTCTATTTAGTTTATCTAAAGTCTTTCACACGCGTTTTTTTATTTTGTTTTTTAGTCAAAATAAATTTTAATGTTTTTTGCGTGTTTTTTGCTTTAGAATATATTTTTAAAACTGTTTCAATGTGTCTGCCGTCGGTGCCCCATGCGTAAGAATGGCTATGACTACATTTCGTTTGTACTAAAATTGTTCAAAAGACCTCTCGATTTGAATTTAATGCTCAATCGAAGAAATAAAATTTGTACTCGTACAACAACAATTATTTGCTTTTTTCGAAAAGTTTATAAACTTTACTATTTAGTACGTGTTGTACAATTAAATCGGTTCGAATCTCTTGCTATCGCTAGTTGACGATGATCACACACAAATTTGTATACTCGCGCTCAGTGTTTCATTAACATAATGTTCCAAAATTAGAAACACGCGCTAAAATACTGGGTAACTAAACAATTTCTCTCGCTGCTTATTTGGCTACTTATCACGACAACAACTACGTGTGTGTGTGTGTGTGTGTGTAATTAGAAAAATGCCAAAAAAGCAATCAATTGATTGATCTCTTTTCCAACTTACCGAATGTATCGTTTTTCTGTCGATGATACATTTCCAAAGTACAACGTCTCTGCACCAAACGATGTAGTATAACTTGATATTTAGAATAAAAACTTTTTTCCGAATCTGTGGACGAACGTCGGCCGCGATTTCTTTCTGTGAGATATAGAAAAATTAATAATCTAAATAGTTCCAATATGGTAAGATTTATAATAAGGTTTACCCAATGATTGATGATCAAGTTGAGCCCATATATCGGAATCGGTTAATCGGGTATAACGTGCACTTTCATAGTGTCCTATGTAAATGGTTTGTTGTTTACTTTCATTCGTTATTTCTGGCAGTATGCAGGGACTTGATCCAGCTGGACGCAAGTTGGGTGTGGTTTTCTTATTACACTCTTGATTACGTTCCTCGCTCTAGAAATGCAAAAAAGGAATCTGATTATAACAAGTTCCTCAAACAATGTACATGCCTAACACTCACCTTAGCTCTTATATTCTCCTTTCGACTCTTATAATGACGCCCTCGTTCAGTATGATAACGTTCCTCGGATCTAAAACGTTTATCCATTTTCTTATACAGCCGCTGCGGTGTCTTACTAGTTACAGGCGAATCGGCAAAATCGGACGGTGGCTTAACAATATCCGGTTCGTTGTCTATATAAGGTAATGATTCTACCGAATCGCCACAAACTACACTCGGTTCCTCGACCTCTTTGCCACAGTGTGAACAGTGACCACTGTGTGGATCAGCATTATTGCCATCAGCCTCACTGTAAAAAACTGAATCGGAACCAGGCGATACAGAGCGATTGAGGGACTCTATGGATTTGGCTTTTAATTGACAAGTTTCCGAAGCTGATTTCACATATGTGGGTGCCAAAGTAGTGGCGATTTTCATTGTTGCTGGTAAAGCTGCTTCTTTAGTCTTACTGGCAGTTACTAGTTCTCCCTCTTGCTTGTGTAAGGGAGTTGGTGTTTTGGCTGCTACAGCCGCTGACATGCTAGCATCCAATAGTTTCTCCATATTGCCTTGTGGCGATAGACTAGCGGCATTTGGTTTACGTTGTTTGGGTATACTTTCATCACGTGAAGAACGTCTTAGTTGACGACGTATTTTAGGACGGAAACGTTTAATTTTTATGGGGCTAGTCGATTCGGCCAAAGCACTGGAGACTTTTTGTCTTTCGGGCGATTTCTTCAATTGTTCCCTTTTGATGGGACTCGTTAAAGCGCGCATATTTTCTTTTTCTATGTCGATTTTCATGGAAGTTTTTCTTCGTTTGCGCTCTTCTTCTTGGCGATGACGGCGTGATTTGATTTTTTGATATTCATCATCATGGGGACTCTCATAGTAGCCCGAGGAGGAATAACGCACTTCACTGCGTTCATCATCGGACACAGACTCCATTTTAATGCGCACTTGTTCTGATCTTTGGGCCAAAGGAGACGACGATGTTTTCATGGTGGAGGGCGAAATTTTTTCCGCCTCTGGGGTTTTTCCCTCACCTCCCACATTATAGCTGCCCGAGGAAGTACTGCTTACCGAATGGGTGGGTGACTTTTTAGGAACATCAATAGGTGTTAAAGGTAAATTAAGACTCAATTCCAATCTGGATTTCGATTCTCGGCGAGAGTCCTCAGTTTGCAGCATATCTTCGGTTAAAATTTCTGCTTTCGAAGAATATAAAGATGAGGCGCTTTCAAAAGAAGATTCACCATGACTCTTATCCATTTGGGAGCTTTGGGTAGAAGCTGAGATTAAATAAAACATTAAGAAAACGTTTAATAACGATTAACTTATATTTAACAACACATTTATCTAATATTTATAAACATAAAGACATTCCAAGCTAAGCTGCTTGCCGGCACACTCAAAGCATCATCTTACATCAAGCAACAACATCAATTACCATCTATTATGGTCAAAAGAAAATTAACAAAAACAAAACTAAAACCAAAAAAGACATTCACGATGCATCCTAGTTTTTAAATAAACGAAAAGACGCCACAAGTTTTTTAACAAAAATTAAAATCAATCACAATAAAGATCAGACATTCAGTTTCAGTTTGATTTCAAACAGATCAAAAGTAAATCCAATTTATTTTTTGGACAACTTATTTAGTAATATCAACACAAACAACATTTATCTAAATTGGTTATAACTACTATTTGCGAGCGTATTCAATAATCGTGCTCTAGTTTTAAGTTTGAATTTGACATGTACGTTTAAAAGGGTTTAATAATGATTGTCTTGTATTCAAACCTGGTACTTGAGTAGTTGATGATGAGCTTGTAGTGGTAGTAGTTGTGGTTAAGGTTGTCCTCATACCTGGCGTACGCCTAGAAGTATCAGTACAAGTGGCATATTCCTCAGTATTGGTATTCGTGCTGCATTCAGAGTTATCGGCATTGCCGGTAAAACTTTTCGGTATATCTGTCATGGAGGACAAACCCAAAGAGATTTCGGATAACCTAAAGGGGGCAAGTTAGTTATTGTATTTGTTTATTACTCAACCTTTCCTTACCTTCTCTGTTCTTTTTGTGGCGTAGTTATAATGCTCTTTCTGGGTGAAGCTACCAAAGTTTTAGCTCCTGGTCTAGTTAAAGTAGAACTCTTTCCAAATGAGGGTGTTATCTCAATGGAGGGTGATAACATTTTCATTTGTGGCGCCGCATAGAGTTTTGGTTCCTTTTCACTTTGTGGTGTTACCGGTGAACGAGATTTCAAACTCATCGAGGCCTGACTAAAAGTGGGACTCTGATCGGTAAATTGTTCTTCCAAATCTAAAGCGTCGGTATCTACTGAACTTCTCTGTTGATGTTGCAACAATAGATGTTTGCGTTTGGTAGAGGGCGTTAGTAGAAGATTTGAATTATACGAAGCCTCTGATCGTTGCTCTGCCGTTAACACGGTCACCTCAGATTCATTCCAATGACCATCTGAATGATCTCTGGTTACATCATTGGCCAATGAATCCGATGACGGATAGGTAGAAGCATGACCTATAGGCTCTTCTCTTAAGGGACTTGGCGGTGCTGAAATACCAGATCCTCTGCCATCCTTTTCCTCTTGTTCGCTGCATTCGGCTTCTTGAACATCTGGTATATTGCACATGCAAGTTTGTATGTTTTCATAAACCGGATCTCTATGTTGATCTTCACTATGATCACTTTCCGCTGAGACAGAATCTAAAGGTTCTCTAGGTTCATAATAGTCCTCTTGTTGTTCTGACTTTTCAACTTTCTTTGTCGATCTCTGGCGGAAGGGTTTAATTTGAAAATCAGATTTAACATACGGCTTAAAGTCGATTATAATCTCCTTTTCATCGGACATATCATCCCTGAAGGATTTGCGTGAGAATCTACGAGATCCCTTAGAGGAGGCATAATCTAGATCAATAAGTTTTTCAGTTTTAACATAAACCGGCATAGATTGACGACGTATATCATCACGCCTGAAAGGAGTATCATTTTGAGGCTCCATGGTTACTAACATGGATTTACGGCGATTAGTGTCCGAATATTCTTTGGGAAATGTTTGTGTAGTATCTATGGAATCTTCATCATCATTAATCTGACAGTACTCTTGCGGAGGCGGTAAGAGATCCGAAGTAAAATCTGAGGAACCATCAGCCATTAGTTCGGAACATTCTGTTATATGCTTGCAAACATCTTGAACATTATGCATATCACGTCGGGGCAAACTATGAAAGTCGGTATCTAAACGAAAACCACAAGCTCGCCGTGGTAAACTATTACTTTCATAAGAAAAGGAATCTTCTTTTTGCATCGTTGGCATATGTTCCCTTTTGGGCTGATGATAGTAGAGCTCATGATTGGTGTCATATTCCAAAGGAGGAGGTGGTTGATAGTAAGTAAAATTACTCTCCAAAGGAGATTTCGGCGGTTCTTCTGACTGAGTGCGATGTAAAGCTTCGTGATCGGCTATATTAGCCTCCATTGCAGCATCTTTCTGCTGAGTGTCATAAGGTATTTGCGACAAACTCTTGGCCAAGGCTTTGCCATTTTGCAGACCATTTGTTTGGGCACCTTGCGACACCACCTTTACACGATGTATGGTCCGAGGACTCAAAGCTAAATTTTGTTCAAATTCATTCTTACGAACATCGGTCTGTGTGGCCTGTGTTTTCATGGCATTACGAAATTTCTTCTCCACCACTATGACTTCAGGACTGGGAGGAGGTAGAACCGGCAGACCGCCCTGTACCACTGTCAAATCTTCCATTATAGGTATGGCCGCCATCAAAGTGGTAGGCTGTTGCGTTTGTACATGCTGTTCGGCAACATAAGTCGGCACATAGGTGGGCTGTATGTGTGCCATATGATGCTGATGCGTGTGACCAATCTGATGAACAGGAACTGTAGCCTGAGGCAGCATATGTATGGTGGATGTGGAGCCCATAATGGCAGTGATAGGAGGTCCACACATAGGTATGGTATCATAATAGGAACCCGTAGGTCCTACCGGTTTCTTTCCTCCAATTAAACGCTCCTGCGATTGAGCCGTTTTCATGCGACCCGAAGAGCGAAAGCCCACATTGAAATCATCGAAAGATGTTAGAGTATGAGAGCGGGCAAAACTCACATGTTTAGTTCTGCTAAAGTAAGTTAAAGTGAAATTTGTTTTAGTTTAATAATACATAGAGAGGATAAAGCAGATAAACTGACCTAGGTGTAGTAGGTGGTCCAGCATGTTGTTGCAAGCCGGTATTAACTCCAATATGAGAAGGGCAGTGATAAGAGCTAGAAGAAGTAAGATTTTTTATAAATTATGAATATGTTGAGCATGTAAGATATTAGTCAAACTCATAAAACTTAAAATTTATATTTGCAGAATTAAACTTCAATCGCGATTCGGTTTTCTTAAGGAAATTTTTTCTACAACCACCGAATTTTTCGTTATAACTGAAGCTGTTTTTGTTCGTTAATTCTATCGCGATTTTCAGTAAAAGCGATGCATTTTGTTTATGGCATTTTCCGAATAGGAATAAATTTAGCTTCGCAACTATTTCATAGTTTGAAAAGTCGGTCTACTTCCATTAATTAGGGAGAGATATAGGTTTCAAGAACCTTAGCAAATGTTTTTTTACGTTTTAATGCATTTAGTCCAATTTTGGGTCACCGTTACAGTGTGATTCAGAGCGTCAATAAGTCGCTTAAATGACTAACAAGGCAACCATGTTTTAAAGAGCTGCAGGACAACATAGATCAACAAATTTCCGATATTTCGGCAGATTTGTGTGCTTGAATCTCAAAAAGTTGGATGCAGAGTATGTTATCGTGCCAGCACTTCGGCTGGGAACACATGAACGATGTCGTAATTCAAAAATAATTGTTATTTTAACCGAATCCATGAGACCACGTTATACTATTCTTACCCTTTATCGTTGATATAACTAATTGCATCATAGTTGTTATAGGCATGTTGTTGTTGTTGCTGATTTTGTTGCTGTTGCAATAAATGTTGTTGTTGTTGTTGCTGTTGGTGATGATGCTGTTGCTGCTGCTGTTGTTGTTCCATCCATGATGTTTGACGATTATCGGTGGAGGCATCAACCATTTTGGAGCTGCTTAATATTGAGGCTGGTTGTCGACGAAAATAGGAACTATCCAAGTCCATACTGTCAGCAGCAGCGGCGGCGGCGGCAGAAGTTGGTGGATATTGTTGATTATAGCGTGAATATTTATAGAATGGAGTATACGGTGCCAGATTTTCATCTGACGGTATACGTCTACCCACACAACCACCCAACAAAGATTGGGGAGCACTGCGTCTTGAGAGGCAACCGAAAAACTTTTCACGTCTCGAACGTTCTATAGTATTCACCTGACGATCAGTTAAGCAATACTATAAAAAAATGAAATGGATATGAAAATAATCTAGAAATATTTATTCAATATTCCTTAATATACCAACCTGTTCTCTGATATCTCCTTTAGAGTATTGTGAGGGTTTCGGATATAGTTCGGTCGATGAGGTGTGTCTTAATCTTCTGCGATGCGTATTTTCGTCTTCTGAATCATAATTTCGATCCGCTTGACTTGAGTATGTGGGTTTAGCGTGTGAATCTATAGTGCCCATTGAAACTGCATGGTGAAGACCTGCATTTGAAGTGGAAAAAAATCAGTTTTAATAAAATTTTAGTTTTTTTCACTAACAAATTTTAACTATAAAGTATTGTATTGCTTAATTTTTACTATAGGAATTAACTTGATAACTCCAATCCCATTAAGCACATATTAAAAATTCTTGCAATAAATAGGTCTGCCTATACGTAGATACATATGTATGTATGTATATTTAAGCCGCATCCAATGTATTAAAGTTACTTGTTGTTATATATTTTGTGTTATTTGCTTTGGCTATAACATACATACATAAGTATGTTTGACGGTTGCTGCTTGAGCTTATAAAAATAGTAACTAGTTTTTAGTTGGAAAACATTTAATATTGAAATTAAAATGCCTGCATGTAGCAGCAAATAGTGTTTTTTTGTATGAAAACTAGCAGAACCCTACAACAACAGCAACCCTTCCATTCTATTTTTGTAAAATACCAACTTAATAAATATCCCATTTCCATGTTCATATCCTGCTTAGTGCAATAAAAACACACATACACACACACAGACAGCCAAACACATGAAAATCTCAAATGACTAGAAGCTGGTTATGGTAAAGGAGGTAGTAGCACCGTAGTAACCGAGTTGTATGTATAGAAAAGAACGTAACAGGATAACAAAGTGTGTCAGTACTGTGCAATTATTTACAATTACTTAAAATTCCAAGCCACTACTAAAATATGTATGTGTGCGTATGTATGTGCGGAAGTATTTACTCTATTCGTACATGTATTTATGCTAAAATTATAAATTTATAAACTCAAGAACAACAAAAACCTACAGCAACTTAAATACGAAAAAAACCTAAAGAAAATGAACAAAAAACAATATTATACCAAGTAAGAGATGCTATTTTTGCTGCTGCATACACACACACACACATACACAAAAAACGTACAAAAAAGAACATACAAATACACAACACTAAAAAGGAAACAAAACACTACAAATGGGTTTCCGTTTTTTATTTTCAACATTCATGCACACAAAAACCACACTCATACATTTATACGACAAACAACATCCTCACTCATATACCAATATTTGCCTTTCTCTCTCAGGCCAGAGTAAAAAAGCATTAACATAAAATGACAAACGAAAAAAAAAACAGCACAACTACAACAGCTTGAAAGTTAACGTCTCAGTGAACAGTGGGTCAGAATTTAAATATTTTGTTAGTGAATCGTCAATATTTTTCTTATTGCTTGACCATTTTAAAACAATCAATTGATTCAATTAATTTTACTATGTAAATGTCCTAGTTATTACATAAGTTCCTTTTTCAAAAGTTATACTTTGAATTTAAAGTTTTGTTCATTAACTGGAAATATTACAGTTAAAAGAACAATTGTTGTTAAGTTTAAACGTAAGCGACACTTGATTTTCTCAGCTTTATTTTTTTTTATACCCTACACACTTTACTGCTTATGTTTGTAACGCATAGAATTAATGGTTTTATACCTACATTTAAGTATAACAATCGGCTCGGAATCATTTTCGGAGTCGATTAAGCCGCGTCCGTCCATCCGTCTGTCTGTCCATCCGTCTGTCTGTCCATCCGTCTGTCTGTCCATGTAAACCTTGTCATCAAACTCCAATTTTTAAGATTTTGGCTGAAATTTGGTACGCACAATACTTTTGACCCAAGGACTATTGATTTTGGTTGATATCGGTCCATTATTAAATCTAGCTCCCATATAACCGGACTATAAAGATGTGTATTCCATTGAAATTCAGCATAATTAACTTTAATGTCAACAAAAATCCCTCCACCAAATTTTGTTGGATCGTTTCATAATTGACCCCCATATATAGCCTCCATCAGAAAATCATTTTTTTCATCAAAAATATGTTGAAATTAAGAAAAAATACAACATAAATGCTTTATTATAAAAAATAATACTCATTTGAGATATAATCATAACTGGTGCAGAGTATTATATGGTCGGCCATACCCGACTATACCTTTTTACTTGTTTTTATATTATTTATGAAAAATTCGTGAATAATACGATTATTTATATTATTTTATATTATTTAATCAAATTCTTTTCTATTCTTACGAAAGTACGTAAACCTTTTGTAAAATCGTTTTTGAATACTTAAGCGAAATTAAACATAATAATAAAAATTTGCTAAAATTATTTTACATTATACATACTAAAATATATCGTACAATTTCGTAAATATTACGAAACAACGATTACGAAACATGGATTATTTTCAGTGTAGTAAGAAATCTAAGAAGAGTTTATCAAATTTTTGAGCGATAAATATTTAATCTTTTTTCCTTAAACAACTTCTGCAATCACTATTAATTCCTTAAAGCTGATAAGTTTAATCATAAAGAAAGATAAGATCAGAGCATTTCGTATAATCTGCCGCCTATTCGTTAATCATGTTCGAAACCAAGGCCATGAAATATTAATATACATTCAAGAAGGATCCGCATTTCTTAGCAATTTTAAGAACCCCACGTAAGTTTAAAAGTCGAGGTTTTGGGATATAGTTTAAGCTCATCAGAGAATATTTCCAAGATTTGATTCTAGCCCTAAGGCAGAATTTTGGAACCTTCTAAGTCACATACTTGTATATATGGTACTAATGTATCGAAGTCTGGATGTCCGTCTACGAAAACAGTTTTTTTTCTTCGTCTACCTATTTTCGGGATACATATCTTAAATACTTCTATGAGACATGCCTTCAAACAAATCAGTGCATACAGTTCAAAAAATCTATTATTTTAGCTTTATATTTTTTATAGTTTTCTGGTTGTATGTATGTAAATCGTATATGGTAGGTGGACTACATGTATATCAAAAGAGAAGTATTTGTAGATCTTCTCAAGAAATAATGGGAAATGGATTTTAAACGGGTTTTAAAGAAAATGTGTGATACCCGAGGTGACCAACTTTGGTAGGCTATCCACTGGCCCTCCATTATGCGATTATCGTCTACTGTTAAACCATTGGAAAATATCTCAGCTCTAACCATTGAAATTTCGTTACTATAAATATATCCGAGATACTGAAATATTTCCAAAAAGAAGTTTATAAACCACTGTGCAGTGTTGAAATTTTGAAATTTTGTCATCTGTTTATTATATATCGAAATATTGGTCCTAGATCCACAAAAGTATATACATACATACATATATATTCTGGGTCTTTATTAGATTTAAAGACGGTTTAGCCATCTTTCTGTTGAAAACATGATAGGTCGAAATCGGTAATCTTTTATCTTTAGCCTCATATGTGGCCTCCTTAAATTTGTTAAGAACTAAAATCTTCCTACCGAATTGTATAGGAATCGGGTCATAATCTTGCCTAAAGCCAAATTTTAACATATTCTTTAGATACTTTTGAGTAAAAAATACTTTTGGAAATGCACCAACTGTGATCAAAAATTATAACTCTATAAATCTGTCCGATATTTTTGTGAGATGATTAAGAATAAAATGATCATGAATCGGAATCTTTTTTTTGCAACTTCCACAAACATGCTGTAAAAACAGGAGGTGCTTGAATGACGGCTAAATTTCCTAAATATATATTAGGATTATAACTAACGTGGTAGCCAGTAGTGTTCTCATAACGAAAACCTATAATTCGGGTTATTTTGAGGCAAAACCCTTTAGCAGCAAGTTGATTTTCTAAAAATTTTTAATGGTATGTTTGGTTACTAAAATTGGAAGAGGGAATAACCGCTGCCCCTATTATTGCTTTTTCGTCGTCTAAATGTGATAGGTCAATCATTCCTGAAGTTTTTTCTAAAGTGATACAAAGGTCTTATTTATGCGGATTTTATTCTGATATCTTTATTTAATACTGAAATATGCGACTTTTATAAGTGGATCTTATAAGACCAATTATGGACCGATCCGGAAAAACTTGGTAGATGTGCACACAAAACATATATTTATTTGGAATATTATTTCAATAACTACATTTCTTAATTACTTATGTGCATTTAAATGATTTTTGGAAGTGGGCTTTACATGGGAGCCGTGTCCAATTGTAAACCAATCCCGAAAATATTTTGCAGAGCATATATTTAGTCCTTTAATTCCCAGTGGAACATGATATGTGTTAATATCTTTATTTCTTAATATATTATATGCATTCCGAAAGTGGACCTTATATGGGAGCTATGACCAATACGTTAAAAATTTGGCATGGTGGTTTATATTTACTTTAAACACATTCATTAAGAATTCTCTTCATTCAGTAATGAAATACATATTTATGTTTACGTGGTTATCGAAAGTGGTTCCTATTTGGGAGCTATAACCAATTATGGACCTATCCGAAAACAAATTCGCAGGGTGGTTTTTATGTATGTACTTTAAACATTTTAATGACGAATTTGATATCGATATCTTCATTCAGTAATGAAATATGTGTGTTTAAGTGGTTTTTGGAAATGGGTCTTATATGGGCCAATCCGGAAAATACTTTGCAAAATGGTATGTGTATATACAAAAATAATTTATGTTGAATACTATTCCAATATCTTGATTTGTTAATTAGTTATGTTCATTAAAGTGATTTTCGCAAGAGTACCTTATATGGGAGTTATGACCAATTATGGACCGATATACATAGATCTACGTTGGTAATATGATTTATGTTCATATTATATATATATTTGCAACATTTTGTGTTGATACCGATATTTTTGACAAAGTTATTAGCGATATGTACCTTTGTATGGGGGCTATGGGAAATGCTGGATCGATTGTTTTTAATTTTGAATATAATTAATCAGTGGGTGAACACTAATTCGTGTAAATCGAATTATCTTTGTTAATCTCTGAGAAAATTACTCAAGAATTTGGAAAAACGGTATTTTTTTCGAGGTAGTCTGAAATTTTGTGAATCGATTTTGCCGATTTGCAATACCAAACTGCTTAGGACAATAATTAATATATGTATATTCGATGAATTTGGTTGAGTTCCCTTGCTTAGTTTTACCGTTAGCGTGTTTTAGGCAGACAGGTAGATGGACAGACAAAGATGGATAGCTAAATCGACTCAGAATTTGATAAGCAGCCGGAATATATGTATGTATATACTTTGTTGGCTGTCAGATAAATATTTCTTAGTGTTATACACGAAATGTCAAACCACCACTTGTGTTGGGGAAGTGTATAAAAACAAACTTTTCAATGACTATTGCATACCATATGCATTACTTTTAAGTACTATTATAATCACTATAATAAGATATATACTTTATTTTGAGTTTTGTCATTTTATTTGCAAACAACTATGGACGCTTACACGTTGACAACACGGAATGAGTTAGAATGCTAATTAATAAGTGTATTTTTTTCAATGTAAGTTTTTGTTGGGTTATCTACTATAGGTCATTTTCCATATAAACTAGAAATCTTTGTTTCAATTTATAAACTTGTTTTACATAGTTTATGTTAAATTTTCTATTTATGTAGTCCCACTGTTATGCTATGCACAATATGTTTGTTATAACAAATACATATACATCTACTTACTATATTATCATGATGTAATTTATTAAATAATTTCATTTTAACAACTTCTTTTATGTTGATTATTAATTTAATTCGTAAAATTATTTATCTAATATGTACGTGTGTGTGTGGTATTGTATGTATCTTTAATGTATATATTTAGACGCATCACTGACCACGGTGGGCCGTGTACTAACAAATTAAATTGAAAAAAAAATACTCACCATTATTCATACGCATCGCTACACTCATCGTAGGAGCAGCAGAGCAGCTTTAAAGTGCTTTTATTTTGGTCGATTTTCGTAATGTTGGAAATGTTAAGCAATGATGATGATGAACCATTAACATTCAGAAGTTTATGGATATTTGTTGCGAAATTCTAGGAGTTTTTAAAGCAAATTTATATTTTATAAATTTGTTTTGTCCTGTGAAAGTCTGGTTATAGTTGTGGCACGTTGTATGTGTTTAACTTTTCTTTGGTCTATTTGGGCTAGAGCGGTGTTAAGATTAGCATGTTATAGATTTTACATTTTTCCATTATGGAGGCTGATTATTTTCATTTAATTTGAAGATTTAGATGAATCAAAAGTTAGAAATGTTTTTCTATCTGTCTGCTAGGAGGTTCTGCTACTACTATAGAAATCCTTGTTATTATCCTTAAAATATTTTAGCAGCCTTATTCATTTCTTTGTTCTTTTTTCTCATTTTTATTTATTGTTTCTTGTTAAAGCATCTTTTCCATCACTTGTACGTTGTTAAAGCGTTGTTGCTGTTGTTGTAGTTTTTTGTTTTATATAAAGCTTTTTTTTCTTAAATTATTGTGAAAGATGTATAATTTTTATTAAATTTATTTAATTAAATTTTTCTGTTTTTTGTTACTTCTTTTAGATTTTCTTAAAATACCCGTAATTAAAGGATCCGTTTTCGTTTTTTACACTTTTTTTGGTTTTATGACTTTTTGGTATGTATGCGTTTGAAATTTTTTTTTTGTTATAATTTTGTATATACAAAAGAATTTTTTATTACTTTTTCACTTTAATTATTAAATTTTTTTGTTAATTTTTATAACTTTTCAACAAGAACTTATGCAAGCACACAACCAAAATTCCTTTTCTTTTTTTTCAAATATTTTACTTAAACTTTTTCTTTGAATTAAATTTTCATATTCTAATAGAATGTTTTAGTATAATTAATTTAATTTATTGTAAAATTGCTTTAAATTATTGTTGTTATAAATTAAATAAAATAAAGTAATTTATGATTCGTTTTTTTTTTTTTTTTTGGCAAATTTTAAACTATAAATTGTTCGTTTAACGAAAGAATCAAGAAAATTTTGTTGAAAAATTTGCCTTTTTTTATAATCAAATCAATATACACCGTGAGTACAAGTGAGTGAGTGTGTGAAAGTATGTTTCGTTGGTTGGTTGGTATAAAGGAGAGTGTGTCAATTCCTTGCTTTCCTTTAAAACATACAGATTCAAAATCATCAACATATGAGTGTAAGTGAGAGTATGTGAATGAGTAAGTTTGGTGTTTGAAAAGTGTGAGTAAGAGGAAATGAAACACTGTTAGAAGAAGTGAACCAGATAACTAGGATGCTGAAACTGAAATTGAAATCTCTTTGAAGACAGGAAAAATCCTTTCTAATTTTTATTGTACACGCATCCTGCATTCAAATGTATCCACACACTAAAACTTCAAAGTCAATGAAAACTACAAACCAAACAACAAAAATAAACAATAGAAACTAAAAGAAAACGGAAAATCCTCATCAAAATAAAAAAACCAGACAAAGCACTCTTAATACACACTCATACTATTATACTCTTTTTTGCTTACTACTATCACAGCTTCTTTCTTTTTGCCACAAAAAAAGAGAATTTCCTAAGCACAGCAGCCACAACAAAAAATTTGTCAACAAAAAAAAAACCTCATCATCAACTTGCAGTGACGTAAATAACTCAAAAAAAAAATTGGGTCAAAATTTTAATTTATTTCAATATTTCACTTGAAAAATTTTACACATATTTACATTCTTAACTTTATTATAACAATTTAAAAACTTTAACACCGTTATTTCTTTTATAATTTTAAAATCTCCCCCTTAAACAGCCATATGTTTAGCAAAGATTTTCAAACAAATTTTAAAGCGTAACTCTTATTTGTCCGTTATTTCCTGGTGAGAGAGTGTAGTGTAACTCTGTGTAGTAAATGATTTTAATGATTCCTTTGTGTTTTCTTTTCCAAGTGTATGGGAGTGAGTGTGTGTGTGTTGTTTATGTGGTCCGTGTTTCTATGGCGCAAGTCCTTGGAATGTGGCCGTTTGTTGTCATTCATGTTTATACCTTATATTTTACATTCTCCGTTGTAAACGAAAATATTGCTCTCTTTTTGCAAAAAGGAAGAAGAAAAATAACAAACTTTTTGTTTACAAATTTTGACAGCTTTCAAAAAATGCACACTTAGAGAAAAATATTCAAAATGTTTAATTGAATTTCTAGCTAGCTAACTAACTAACTAACTAACTAACTAACTAACGAACTAACTAACTAACTAACTAACTAACTAACTAACTAACTAACTAACTAACTAACTAACTAACTAACTAACTAACTAACTAACTAACTAACTAACTACTACTAACTAACTAACTAACTACTACTAACTAACTAACTAACTACTAACTAACTAACTAACTAACTAACTAACTAACTACTAACTAACTAACTAACTAACTAACTAACTACTAACTAACTAACTAACTAACTAACTAACTAACTAACTAACTAACTAACTAACTAACTAACTAACTAACTAACTAACTAACTAACTAACTAACTACTACTAACTAACTACTAACTAACTAACTACTAACTAACTAACTAACTAACTAACTAACTAACTAACTAACTAACTAACTAACTAACTAACTAACTAACTAACTAACTAACTAACTAACTAACTAACTAACTACTAACTAACTAACTAACACTAACTAACTAACTAACTAACTAACTAACTAACTAACTAACTAACTAACTAACTACTAACTAACTAACTAACTAACTAACTAACTAACTAACTAACTAACTAACTAACTACTAACTAACTAACTAACTAACTAACTAACTAACTAACTAACTAACTAACTAACTAACTACTAACTAACTAACTAACTAACTACTAACTAACTACTAACTACTAACTAACTAACTACTAACTAACTAACTAACTAACTCTAACTACTAACTAACTAACTAACTAACCACTACTACTAACTAACTAACTAACTAACTAACTAACTAACTAACTAACTAACTAACTAACTAACTAACTAACTAACTAACTAACTAACTAACTAACTAACTAACTACTAACTAACTAACTAACTAACTAACTAACTAACTAACTAACTAACTAACTAACTAACTAACTAACTAACTAACTAACTAACTAACTAACTAACTAACTAACTAACTACTAACTACTAACTAACTAACTAACTAACTAACTAACTAACTAACTAACTAACTAACTACTAACTAACTACTAACTAACTAACTAACTAACTAACTACTAACTAACTAACTAACTAACTAACTAACTAACTAACTACTAACTAACTAACTAACTAACTAACTAACTAACTAACTAACTAACTAACTAACTACTAACTAACTAACTAACTAACTAACTAACTAACTAACTAACTAACTAACTAACTAACTAACTAACTACTAACTAACTAACTAACTAACTAACTAACTAACTAACTAACTAACTAACTAACTAACTAACTAACTAACTAACTAACTAACTAACTAACTAACTAACTAACTAACTAACTAACTAACTACTAACTAACTAACTAACTACTAACTAACTAACTAACTAACTAACTAACTAACTAACTAACTAACTAACTAACTAACTAACTAACTACTAACTAACTAACTAACTACTAACTAACTAACTAACTAACTAACTAACTAACTAACTAACTAACTAACTAACTAACTAAACTAACTACTAACTAACTAACTAACTAACTAACTAACTAACTAACTAACTAACTAACTAACTAACTAACTAACTAACTAACTAACTAACTAACTAACTAACTAACTAACTAACTAACTAACTAACTACTAACTAACTAACTAACTAACTAACTACTAACTAACTAACTAACTAACTACTAACTAACTAACTAACTAACTAACTAACTAACTAACTAACTACTAACTAACTAACTAACTAACTAACTAACTAACTAACTAACTAACTAACTAACTAACTAACTAACTAACTAACTAACTAACTAACTAACTAACTAACTAACTAACTAACTAACTAACTAACTAACTAACTAACTAACTACTACTAACTACTAACTAACTAACTAACTAACTAACTACTAACTAACTAACTAACTAACTAACAACTAACTAACTAACTAACTAACTAACTAACTACTAACTAACTAACTAACTAACTACTAACCTAACTAACTAACTACCTAACTAACTAACTAACTAACTAACTAACTACTACTAACTAACTAACTAACTAACTACTAACTAACTAACTAACTAACTAACTAACTAACTAACTAACTAACTACTACTAACTAACTACTAACTAACTAACTAACTAACTAACTAACTAACTAACTAACTAACTAACTACTAACTAACTAACTACTAACTAACTAACTAACTAACTAACTACTAACTAACTAACTAACTAACTAAATACTACTAACTAACTAACTAACTAACTAACTAACTAACTACTAACTAACTAACTCTAACTAACTAACTAACTAACTAACTAACACTAACTAACTAACTCTAACTACTAACTAACTAACTAACTAAACTAACTAACGAACTAACTAACTAACTAACTAACTAACTAACTAACTACTAACTAACTAACTAACTAACTAACTACTAACTAACTAACTAACTAACTAACTAACTAACTAACTAACTAACTAACTAACTAACTAACTAACTAACTAACTAACTAACTAACTAACTAACTAACTAACTAACTAACTAACTAACTAACTAACTAACCTAACTAACTAACTAACTAACTAACACTAACTAACTAACTAACTAACTAACTAACTACTAACTAACTAACTAACTAACTAACTAACAACTAACTAACTAACTAACTACTAACTAACTAACTACTAACTAACTAACTAACTAACTAACTAACTAACAACTAACTAACTAACTACGAACTATAACTGAACTAACTAACTCTAACTTAACTAACTAACTACTAACTAACTAACTAACTAACTACTAACAATAACTAACTAACTAACTAACTAACTAACTAACTAACGACTAACTAACTAACTAACTAACTAACTAACTAACTAACTAACTAACTAACTAACTAACTAACTAACTAACTAACTAACTAACTAACTACTAACTAACTAACTAACTAACGAACTAACTAACGACTAACTAACTACTACTAACTAACTAACTAACTAACTAACTAACTACTAACTAACTAACTAACTACTACTAACTAACTAACTAACTAACTAACTAACTAACTAACTAACTAACTAACTAACTAACTAATTTTACTACTAACTAACTAACTAACTAACTCCCGTTAACGAAATAAGTTAAAATCATCGTCTCGAAACGGTTGCCAAACTTTCATAAAATGTCAATTTCTGGAGAAAAATTGAATTTCTAGTGACAAATCGGATTTTTAGTGAAAAATAAATTTTTAGTGAAGAATTGAATTTCTTGTGAAAAAATCGAAAATCAAGTGAAAAATCTAATTTTAGTGAAAAATAAAATTTTTTGTGAAATATAACATTTTAAATGAAAAATTTAATTTTGGAGAAAAATTGAATTTCTGGTGACAAATCGAAAATTAAGTGAAATTTAAATTTTTTGTGAAAATCGAAATTTTAGTACAAAATATAATTTTAGAAATCAGATTTTTGGTGAAAGATTAATGACCAAAACCTCGTAATTTTAGTTAAAAATTTAAATTCTGGTGGAAAATCGGATTTTAAGTGAAAATTAAAATTTTTAGTAAAAAACAAAATTTTAAATGAAATCAAAATTCACTTTTTAGTGAAAGAAAAACTTGGACTTTTTACTGTAAAATTTTGATTGAAATTTTCTATAGAACAGAGAAACTTTGCTCAAAGAAAAGTTCTTTTAGTTAGAGGAGCTTTTTTTAAACAAAAGTCCTCTTGGGAGAACAGAAGCTTTTCTTAAGAAAACTTATATCAAGTGCAGCATGAAGTACTACGAAGCAGTTTCTTTTAAAAAGTAGTCTAGACTAGTGTAAGTTATTTTAGTTAGAGCAGCTTTTCTTAAACAAAAGTCCTCTTGAGAGAGCAGCTTTTCTTAAGAATATGTATATCAAGTGTAGATTTTCCTAAAAAAAACTCTTCTTAAGGAAGAATTCTCTAAAATTAAACAGTTTCTGCCAACAAATTTCTATAACAGAGCAGTTCTCTTGAGCTTTCTCTTGAGAAAGCAGCTTTTCTTATGAAATTTTGTATCAAGTGCAGCAACTTTTCTCACAAAAGTTCTAGAGCAGAGCAGCTTTTCTTAAAAAACACTCTAACATAGAGAAACTTTTCTCAAACAAAAGATTTCTAGACTAGAGAATAATTTCCTATGGAAGTTAGATAAATTTGTCTATAAGGAAAGTCCGTATAAAGAAAAAGCTTTTTAATGAAAACTTTCATAGAAGAAAAGCTATTCTTTTCTTAAAGAAAACTTTTCTAAAATAAAAAAGCTTTTTAAGGCAATTTTTCTACATTGGAATAAAGCAGAATTTCTTAGGAAGATAAGATCGAATATCAAAATTGAAACTCAATGTTTGTTTTTTTTTTGTGAAATGTTTAAATTTGTTTTTATTAAAGTTTTTAACATTAAAATCTAATAATTACTATAAAAGTTTAAAGCGTTTTTTATTTTGAATTTATTTTCATTTCATTTAATTTCAGTTTTTTTTTTTCGACTTTTATTTTTTATTAAATTTTATCAATTCAATTAACTATGTTAGGAATTTTTTTTTATTAATTTATTATAATTTTTCTCAAGAAAAAATTGTCTATAAATTGATTTTCACATGAAGTTTGTTTTTTAAGTTTTTTTCTTATATAAAAAGTTGTGGTGATGATTATTTAATTGTTTTTTCATTTAATTTGTTTAAGGTTTTTGGAAAGAAAAAGGACAGGTGAGGCTTTTAAGGTGATATGGCTAATAAATTTGTGTTTATATTTGTTTTAAATTTATTTTGAACACATAAATATATTTATTAAATATTTTTTTTGTTTTTGATTTATTTTTAAGATTTTTTTTTCAGTTTGAATGAAGGTTTATAGATGCGTTGAGTGATGTTTGCAATATTGGAGTTTTAATTATAATTTTAAAATAATAAAATTATATTGGATTTATGAAATTTGCTAAATTTGTTTGAACATTTTTAAATAAATTTGTTTTTTTTTTTTTAATTTTAAGGCTCAATGTAACACAACAATAAGTTTTGTTTTATTATATTTCTATTTATTTGAAATTTGTAAGTTTTATTTTTTTCTCAAAATTTAACAGTTTTATAAGTGCTAAACATACTAGTAATTCGATTTAGAAAAATTAAACTTTATTTGAAAAATTTTAAGTAAACTTAGTTTTTTGAATTAAAAAGCTCTTCTTAACAAAATGTTAATTAGATGCTTTAGATTAGCGCAGTGTATTTTAAGAAAAGCTCTCTTGATTAGAGCAGCTTTTGTCTCTAAAATACTGCATCTTTTCCTAAAGAAAAGTTCAACAGAAAGGCCATTTTTTATGGTAAAGCTATGTAGATTAAAGAAGCTTTTTTAAAGAATTGTTCGGCAGATTAGAACTGGTTTCCTCAAGACAAGTCTCTAGACTAGATTAGCATTGCTTTCAGAAAACTTTTCTATATTAGAGCAAGTTCTCTAGAATAAAGTAGCTTTTCTTAAAGATAATTTCTTTAGGAAAGAACAGCCTTTCTTAATAAAAAGTTCTCTTGAGTAAAAGCTGTTATTATTTAAGAAAAGTTTTCTAGGTTAAAACTTCTTTCTTAAAGAAAAGTTCTTTATATTAGAGCAGCTTTTATAAATATAAATTTTCTAAGCTAAAGCAGCTTTTCTTTTAAGAAAAGTTCGCAAGATTAGAGCAGCTTTTCATAACGTCAAATCTCTAGACTAAAGCAGTTTTCCTTTAAGAAAAGTTCTCGAGATTAGAGCAACTTTTCTTATAGAATATTTCACTAAATAAGAACAGTCTTTCATAACGAAAAGTTCTGAACAGTAAAGCAGTTTTTCTTAAAGAAAAAGTTCTGTAGATTAGAACAAACATTTCTTATAGAAAACTTCTCTAGATAAGAACTGTCTTTCTTAATGAAAAGTTCTAGAGAGTACAGCAGCTTTTCTTAAAGCAAAGTTCTGTAGAATAAAGCAGCTTTTATTAAAGAAAAGTTTCTTCCAAAAGTTTTCTATGTTAGAACAGCTGTTTTTAAGAAAAGGGTTTTTATATTAGAGCAGCTTCTCGTAAGGAAAATTTCTAGATAAGAACAGCTTTTCTTAAAGAAAACTTCTGTAGTAGATTAGGGGCATCTCCTCTTAAAGACAAGTTCTCTAGATTAAGTAGCTTTTCATTAGGAATATTTCTCTAGAAAAGTTCTATGTACAACAGCAGCTATTCTTAAACATAAATTCTTTAGATTAGAGTAGATTTTTTTAAGGAAAAGGTCCATAGATTGGAGAAAACTTTTCGTGAAGGTAATTTTTCGGAACTTGGCAGGATTTCTTCAAGAAATGTTCTCTAGAATAGAGAAACTTTTCTTAATAAATAGTTCTCTAGATTTCAACAACTTTTCTTAAAGGAAACTTCTCTAGATTACAGCAGCTTCTCTTAAAGATAAGTTCTTTAGAATGGAGCAGCTTTTCTTGCAGAAAATGTTCTAGTAAAGAATAGCTTTTCTCAATTAAAACTAATCTAGCCCAGTTGAGATTAAAAGTTTTCCAGATTTTCTTAAGGAAAATTTCTCTAGATAAGAACAGCTTTTCCTAATCAGAAGTTCTTTATATTACAGCAGCTTTTCTTAAAGAAAATCCTGTAGATTAGAGTAGATTTTCCTAAGGAATGGGTCCATATATTAGAACAACTTTTCGTAAAGGCAAGTTTTCTGAACTAGACAAGATTTCTTCAAGAAAAATTCTCTAGATTAGATAAACTTTCTTAAGGAATAGTTATCTAGATTTTAACAATTTTTCTTAAAGTTGGATTACAGTAGCTTTTCTTAAATATAACTTCTTTATAATAGAGCAGCATTTCCTGAAGAAAAATGTTCTTGTAAAGAACAGCTTTTCTCAATCAAAAGTACTCTAGGCCAGTTCAAATTAAAGTTTTATCTAATAAAAAGTTCTATATACTACAGCAGCTTTTCTTAAACAAAAATTCTGCAGATTAGAGTAGCTTTTCCTACAGAAAGGGTCCATACAATAGAGAAACTTTTCGTGAAGTTAATTTTTCTGAACCAGACAAGATTTCTTCAAGAAATGTTCTCTAAATTAGAGAAACTTTTCTAAAGAAATAGTTCTCTAGATTTCAAAAATTTTTCTTAAAGAAAAGTTCTCTAGATTACAGCATGTGCTCTTAAAGATATATTCTTTAGAATAATGCAGCTTTTCTTGAAGAAAAGTTTTCTTGTAAAATAAAAGCTTTTCTTAATCAAACGTACTGTAGGCCAGTTTAGATTAATAGTTCTCTAAATTAAAAAAACTTTTCCTAATGAAGCGTTCTGTAGATTAGTTCAATGAAAAATTATCTAGAAAAAATTATATTGTCTAAAAGCAAAGTTCTGTAGACTAGAATAGCTTTTCTTAATGAAAGTTCTTCTAGAGCTTTAATTAAAGTTTTCTAGAGCTTTTTTTTTAAATAAATATGTTTCTATTGTCTACATCATGTAAACATCCTTAAGCATCGGTTTTACTAATATGTAAGCTTACTCATAATTAATTTAAGAAACCTAAATAAATAAATTAAAATTTTATTGTTTTTTTGTTAATATTTCATTGTTTAATATTTTTATATAGTAAATTTGATTTTGAACATTGAGAAAAATTCAATTTATGTTTTTCTTTTTGTCATAATATAATCTTCTACATGAAGACACCATTGTTCTTCGTTTATTTTTTTCTGCTAATCAATCTATAAATTGTATGCAAAATTTTTTTTAAAAACTTTTTTAAGTCATATTTTGTTAATAATTTTTTTTACAATTCAATTATTCTAAAAACGTCTATCATTCTTTTTAATTTATGTGTTTTTTTATTATTTTCTTTCATATAATCGGTGGATTTAAAAACCTGGACTTATGTCGTTTTTTTATTATTAATAAATTTACTTTTTTTAATTTATTAATTAATTAATAAGATTTGTTGTTGTTTAAACATTTTATTGCCTAAGGCTGAAAATGTGTGTGTATGTGTGAAAGAGAGAGAGAGAGTGTGTTTGATGAAATTTTGTTTTTTTTGGAAAAAATTTGATTGCTTTAATTTATGTGGGAGATTTTTCTAAGTGTAGTAGTTTTTAAAATTTTGAGTTTTAAGATTTAAGGTTTAAAAAGTTTTTAGTGTAAATTTATTTGCTGTAGTTTTTCTTTATACCAAAATATAGTGAAAAGATTTAGAGAGGGTGGGTGATGGTTGTTAAGTTGGTTTGTGTCTTAGAAAGGTGCTTTCTAATTATTTTTAAGGAATTTAAAGTTTTTAAAAAGTTTTCTTCAATTTATTAAATTGAGATTTTTTTTCTCCTATATTATTCTAAGAAAAATTCCAAGTAAAAAATAAAGGACTAGAAAATGTAAAAGTGTTTGATTTTTCTTCTAAATGTTAGGAGCTACTTGTAGTAGTTTGGTAGTGATAGTTAGAGTTAAACGCATCATAGAGGATAATTTTACCACAAAACTAAACTACACGGATGTGGTCATTTGTTCAACATAGGTTATAGGTCTCGATAGGGATTGTGAACGTTTGAGTTTACATTTAGGTATTGTAGCAGTAGAATGCGCCGCTACTGCTGGTCCAGTATCTTTAAAAACATTTCTCGATTGATTGGAGGCTGATATTGTAGTGGTAGTAGTGGCAGTGGCCAGAGATTTATCGAGATTTGACAGGAACAGTGTTGAGCGAGAGGCTGTTGTGCTAGTTGGCGCGGCACATAGATGTATTCACGCGAGGGCTGTGGTTTACATTTGCACTGTTGCGACATAGTCGACAGGCCCTCGGGTACACTTTGACTTTTGCAGTTCTGGAAATAGCTGGATGGGCTGCAGGTGCAAAGTAAGGGTTGGGTGTTTTCCATTCTATAAAGAGATATTAATTTTAAACAAGGTCTCCTTTAATACATCACATCTTCCAACTTACCTTAAATCTCTATTAGACCACTGAACATTAGCTTGGCACTGTAACTGGAATTGATTGGAACCACAACAGTTGGCATTTTGTATAAAGGAAAGACTACGTCTCAAATAGTTGCCCGTACCATTATCATATATATAAGGATAACGATGATCATGACCCACTTCGGCAGCATGTAAAGCACCCACACCTCCAGTACGACTCAAATCGGTCATAAAATGTCTTCTCTGCTGAGCTGGAGTATGCTGATGCTGATGACAATTACACATAGGCCTTAAAGGTTCACACATACACGAAGAACTTGCACCCAATTGATTTAAACTAATACAACTACGATTTATTAGATCAGGGGCTGGATAATCACAGCCATTGGTTTTCGTATAGTCTACCGTAAAGGCCGGTTGATATTTATGTCGTATATATTGCGTAGACATGGAACGCATGCGCGGTGTTGTCGGCACTGCAGCACCATTCATATTCGAACGTTGTGAAGGATTATGAGGGTATGTGGAGTAACCTATGAAAAATATTATAATGGCGGCTATGGCAGCAGCAGCTGAGCATATATAGTAACCCGCTCGTCCATATTTAAGGAATAGTCATTGAGAAATATGGTTAAAGGTACACTTATCAGCACTGGTATGGCTTCAATTCCTCTGACAAAAGACCAAGTCTTAGAAAATTCACCTTGACCCGTTCCAGGGCCAACATTTTCAAAGAAAAACGAAAGCCACCAAAACCAACACCATAAATGCCCGATAATATGCACAGACCTTTGTAGCCCATAATAAAGGACATGAAGAGTATGGAAAGTGCCACAGTAGCCAGGAAAAACTAAAGAATAAATTTTGTTAAAAAAGGTTTTAGAACGACTATTCTAAACCTACCTGCGATATTATTGGTGTAGACAATACAAAATTATGTATAACAAACGGCCCTTCTTATTAAGACACCCGCCAAAACTACTCCCAAGGTTGTAGACATTCCCAGCATAGTTTGTAATAGCACCAATTCTTGAACATCGGAACCTTCTTTGGCAGCATTTAAAGACTGAAAATAGCAAAAATTTCGAAATTCTAATTAGATATCCAAAATTAGAGAAAAAGTTTCACTTACCATGGTAAACATTGGTGTATATATACCCAAAGCCGCCACAGCAGAGGTCAATAATAAATCTTCACTGTGCCCGATTTTAAATTTGATATGTCTTGTAATAATTTCTTTAAAATATTAGGCTCTACGGGAGGATTATTGTTTTTATGATCTCGCATCTGGAAGAAAATAAAATTAATATCATTTAAACTATATTTAACTTTTCAAAACCCACCTTTTTCCTTTGATTCTTTAAATGCTGTATGGCTCTTCTTTGAGGATGATATAAAGAAGCGGGTCTATATAAAAGACCCACGAAAAAGCTTATCGAAGTTAAGGCCGCTACAATTTGTAAACCACAACGCCAACCCATTTTTCTAAAAAAAAATTAAAACAACAAAAAATATTATCTGTTCATATCTGTTCAAATCATATATTAACTTACCCCACTCCTTCTTTTAATAGCACCGAAAATAAAGCTATACCCACACCCTCACCCGACATGGCCACCATTTCCACAAAAAGTCTTCTTTTCTTAAAGTAATTACCCAACATTATGGTCGATGTCTCACGCACCATTGCCACGCCTATGCCGAAAACAAAACCTGTAAGGAATATAAGTTATTATTGCAAAATTTTGTTTAAAAATTCGCTGAAGAAACACTTACCATAACTGAAAATAACCTGATCCACTTCAGTGGCAAATGAAGTGAATAGTATTCCTAAAGAGAGTATTAAACCGCCTACCACAGCCATTAGTCTAGTAGATTTTCTCCGACATATAGTCTCCACGAAGGGAGAAATTAACATTGATATTGACCAACTTAGTGCTCCCAGCCATTCTGAAATGATGTTAAGTAATATATATTAAACTCTCGATTCTTCTAACAAAATTTTTAAAAAGATCGGGTAATGAGTACACATAACAAATACTACAAATAACTGAATTAGATTTAAGCAATGTCAGACTCTTAGAATGTATAATTAATTATATTACTTTTCTCACGCAGTGTATAGACTATAGACTAGACTAGACTACAGACTATAGACTAGACTATAGACTTGACTATAGACTTGACTATAGACTAGACTATAGACTTGACTATAGACTAGACTATAGACTAGACTATAGACTAGACTATGACTAACTATAGACTAGACTATAGACTAGACTATAGACTAGACTATAGACTAGACTATAGACTAGACTATAGACTAGACTATAGACTAGACTATAGACTAGACTATAGACTAGACTAGACTATAGACTAGACTAGACTATAGACTAGACTATAGACTAGACTATAGACTAGACTATAGACTAGACTATAGACTAGACTATAGACTAGACTATAGACTAGACTATAGACTAGACTATAGACTGACTATAGACTAGACTATAGACTAGACTATAGACTAGACTATAGACTAGACTATAGACTAGACTATAGACTAGACTATAGACTAGACTATAGACTAGACTATAGACTAGACTATAGACTAGACTATAGACTAGACTATAGACTAGACTATAGACTAGACTATAGACTAGACTATAGACTAGACTATAGACTAGACTATAGACTAGACTATAGACTAGACTATAGACTAGACTATAGACTAGACTATAGACTAGACTATAGACTAGACTATAGACTAGACTATAGACTAGACTACTAGACTATAGACTGCTATAGACTAGACTAATAGACTAGACTATAGACTAGGACTATAGACTAGACTATAGACTAGACTATAGATAGACTATAGACTGACTAAGACTAGACTATAGACTAGACTATAGACTAGACTATAGACTAGACTATAGACTAGACTATAGACTAGACTATAGACTAGACTATAGATAGACTATAGACTAGACTATAGACTAGACTATAGACTAGACTATATAGACTAGACTATAGACTTAGACTATAGACTAGACTATAGACTAGACTATAATAGACCGACTATAGACTAGACTATAGACTAGACTATAGACTAGACTTAGATAGATAAGATAGACTATAGACTAGGACTATAGACTAGACTATAGACTAGACTATAGACTAGACTATAGACTAGACTATAGACTAGACTATAGACTAGGACTATAGACATAGACTATAGACTAGACTATAGACTAACTATAGACTAGACTATAGACTAGACTATAGACTAGACTATAGACTAGACTATAGACTAGACTATAGACTAGACTCTAGACTAGACTATCGACTAGACTATAGACTAGACTATAGACTAGACTATAGACTAGACTATAGACTAGACTATAGACTAGACTATAGACTAGACTATAGACTAGACTATAGACTAGACTATAGACTAGACTATAGACTAGACTATAGACTAGACTATAGACTAGACTATAGACTAGACTATAGACTAGACTATAGACTAGACTATAGACTAGACTATAGACTAGACTATACTAGACTATAGACTAGACTATAGACTAGACTATAGACTAGACTATAGACTAGACTATAGACTAGACTATAGACTAGACTATAGACTAGACTATAGACTAGACTATAGACTAGACTATAGACTAGACTATAGACTAGACTATAGACTAGACTATAGACTAGACTATAGACTAGACTATAGACTAGACTATAGACTAGACTATAGACTATAGACTAGATATAGACTAGACTATAGACTAGACTATAATAAAGGATCAAAATCTTACCATTTCCATTAGCATTCTGTATATGTTGAACAGCATAGAACAATGTCAAACCATAAGACAATTGCAGACCAGTCGTTAAAATATGCACCAAAAAAGACATGCCACATATAATCCAACCCCAGCCGCCATCAGGATAAAAATGTTGCCTAATGCCAATAGTATCAACTCCCGTACGTCTTAAAGCAGGAATATTACGATGCAACAAATAGAATTCTTGATCCCTTAAACCGGGAAAACCAGAATCCTGTTCTTCAAACTGATGCACGCAAGAATCGGGAGCTAAAAAAAAAACAAACAATTTTGAATAGTTTTTCTCTATAGGCAATAAAATAACAAACTAACCATAATAAAAACCATGATTGCAACCACGATTGGCCGAATGTAGAGCGGCTGGTGGTGGTGGCGCTAGAGTCTCTTGAGGTCGCACCTGTTGATGGTAGAGTTTACCACAGAGGCATGTAGAAGGCATTTGCATTTTATGATGGTCTATATTGTAGGAACTACAACAAGTATATTGCTGCTGTTGTTGTTGTTGTTGCTGGTGTTGATGAGCATGCTGCTGGGAATGAGATTGAGGTGGCTGATGTGAATGATGTTGATGTTGTAATGTCTGTTGCAATTGTTGTTGCTGCTGCTGTTTGGCATGACGTCTGCATGACATGCTATTGAAATTGCTAGAAGGAACATGTGTCGAGGCCCCATAATTATCATACAAATCAATGGCTGGCAATGCTGTTATCGAACGATGATGATGTGCTCTCATTAGGGGGGGTGGTGGTGGCGAAGGAGTTGCATTTGTCACCGAAGTGTTACACTTATATGCTTGATTTGCTATTGTAGCCTGGCTTGTTGCTGCTGTACTTGCTGCGGCAGTGGATGTAATTGTTGTTGCTTGGACACTTGATTTCACCATGGGTTTCTTTAACATGTTTGATGATGCTGATGATATATTCGATCTATGGGATTCGAGAGTGCTGTGAGGTGTAAGCAATTCGTTGACGTTGTTATTACTACTGGTGGATACAAAGGGCGTAGTCTTAGAGGTGTATTCTTTGAGACTTTGTGTGGAACCCTGTTGATAGGCCAAACGAGGACACGAAACCCACCAGACAACCGGTTGATCGTTGTAACGACAATTTTCACACAATATTCGTTGTGTGGTCAAAGCGGCAGGAGTGGCTATTGAAATGTCCCGAAATCCAGGAGGTGCGGGGGTAGTGTCAATTCCAAGGCAGATTGTTCGCTTAAAGATTTTTGTAGATTGTTTTGGAAATCGTTTGTTGCTGATGTTGCAGCAGTTGGTTTGTTACTTCTGCTGGGAATTTGTGGAGGATGTTCACAACTAAGATTATACCTTCGTCACACTGCACATTTGCTGCATAAAATTATATTTTTATTTTTACTATTTGTGCTTTTGATTAAAGCTGATCTTCTTAGTTCCTGTTCCGAATTCGTTCTGGGTGTATAATGGCCACAATTGTGTTGAATATGTTGCTGATGCTGCTGCGTCTGATATAGCTCTTGCAGAGGAAGATATTGATGCTGCTGCTGCTGTTGTTGTTGTTGCTGCTGCTGCTGTTGTCGTCTCAGAGCACTGAAAAGATTTCGGGGCAAACTACGATACTGATTCAATTGTGGACAACTACTGTAAAGGGATGATGGTGATGGTGAATTCGTTGTATTGTCTGGGTAGTCACCACTACCAGTGGCCATATTATCATGGCCTCCTAAACGACAATTATAATTACAGTTGAGCTGTTTGTTGTCACCACATTTATATTGGCATGTGGCATACAATTTCATTGTTTATTTATTTTGACAATTGTATAGAATTGTGTGCGTGTGTTGTTTTTTTTTTTTTTTTTTTGGCAGTTGGTGTTAGTTGGTGTTAGAAGAGAGTGCAAGACAGATAGAGAAAGAGAGAGAAGATGTATATGTTCTTTTTATTATTACCACAGTCCACTGAAATAATAATGGATGATAAATTCCTCTATCTCTGGCTAAAGAGAAATTCATCATACGCCGAAGACAATAGTCATTTTTATGGCCATTATTAAATGATCTGTAATGATTTAAGAAAAATATTTATATACTTAGTAGCCGATTAGTATAGAATTTCATTATTATTATTAACATTATATATAAATTACTTAAAAATTCTATTGGTAAGCAAATTTACCCTTGACCTAAACCATGGAAATATACAATTTAGTTTAGAATTTTATCACATTGTTTATTGTTATTACAATTTTGTAATTTTTCTTATTTTTTTATATCTTATTCTTAGTTTACTTTATGACATTTTTCAATGACAAGGCACAGTGGGTGATATTTGCAGAGTAATTGAAATTGTTCTGCCATGAAATTCTCTTACACAAAAAGTCCTTCAGTTTTGCATAGATTTTTTTCTATTTGTATTTTTTCTAAAATTGTCCAAAATTATATTACCATTTAGTTATTCATTAAAATAGTTCCCTTATTTCCCACTGTATTTTATCCTTTTTTTCTCTCTTTTAAATAAATGCCTTCTCAGCCAAAATTGTGAAAACCATTGCGACATTATTTTTTTTATTATTATTCTTTGCTTTAATCTCTTAAATACTTTACCAAGTAATAACAATTTTTGCTAGAGATACTAATCTGTTTAAATAGATTTAAGTTTTGTTACTTATACATAATCTCCCCTTTTTTCATAAATTTATTAAAAGGATTTTTCAATTTAGCAATATTGAAAATTATTTAATTTAATCTGTGCAATATTGAAATACATAATACTTTCTATACTCAGAGAAAAATTCTTACAAAAATTGTTTGTTTTTATTAAAACTTTGAGAATTTTAAGCAGCAATTGTTATTTGTCAAAACCCTGGGGGAAATTGATAAGAATAAACTAGCCATGTGACTTGTGTAAGGATATAACAAAACAAAAACTGTTCATGGAATTTATGCATTTATGCAATATATTCGTTTTGATTAATTTAATAATACACAGCATAAGCCCTAATATGTATAAAACTACTCCTCCTGGCTGTCATCCTTTCCTAAAGTTGGAACTAGATTAGACTCAAACAAGAAACCATGGCCGTAGTCGTAATGTATCCTCTCCTGTAGTGTAATATATCCTCTCTCTCTGTCGTTGGGTAAATCGTTATATAAACCCTTCTCTCTTAACCACTATTTGTTTTAGCCTCTATGCAAGATTTTTACATAACAATCGACAAGACAGATCGATCTCTCTGCAAACGATTCTTTTAGCCCTAAGAATGATTGGAAATAATCAAATAACCGAGTAAACAGTGGTGGCCAAATAAATTATTCTAAACTAGCTTTAGCCCAATATCCTACGTTAGGTAGTTAGTTAGTTAGTTAGGTTAGTAGTTAGTTAGTTAGTTAGTTAGTAGTAGTTAGTTAGTAGTTAGTTAGTTAGTTAGTTAGTTAGTTAGTTAGTTAGTTAGTTAGTTAGTTAGTTAGTAGTTAGTTAGTTAGTTAGTTAGGTAGTTAGTTAGTTAGTTAGTTAGTTAGTTAGTTAGTTAGTTAGTTAGTTAGTTAGTTAGTTAGTTAGTTAGTTAGTTAGTTAGTTAGTTAGTTAGTTAGTTAGTTAGTTAGTTAGTTAGTTAGTTAGTTAGTTAGTTAGTTAGTTAGTTAGTTAGTTAGTAGTTAGTTAGTTAGTTAGTTAGTTAGTTAGTTAGTTAGTTAGTTAGTTAGTTAGTTAGTTAGTTAGTTAGTTAGTTAGTTAGTTAGTTAGTTAGTTAGTTAGTTAGTTAGTTAGTTAGTTAGTTAGTTAGTTAGTTAGTAGTTAGTTAGTTAGTTAGTTAGTTAGTTAGTTAGTTAGTTAGTTAGTTAGTTAGTTAGTTAGTTAGTTAGTTAGTTAGTTAGTTAGTTAGTTAGTTAGTAGTTAGTTAGTTAGTTAGTTAGTTAGTAGTTAGTTAGTTAGTTAGTTAGTTAGTTAGTTAGTTAGTTAGTTAGTTAGTTAGTTAGTTAGTTAGTTAGTTAGTTAGTTAGTTAGTTAGTTAGTTAGTAGTTAGTTAGTTAGTTAGTTAGTTAGTTAGTTAGTTAGTTAGTTAGTTAGTTAGTTAGTAGTTAGTTAGTTAGTTAGTTAGTAGTTAGTTAGTTAGTTAGTTAGTTAGTTAGTTAGTTAGTAGTTAGTTAGTTAGTTAGTTAGTTAGTTAGTTAGTAGTTAGTTAGTTAGTTAGTTAGTTAGTTAGTTAGTTAGTTAGTTAGTTAGTTAGTTAGTTAGTTAGTTAGTTAGTTAGTTAGTTAGTTAGTTAGTTAGTTAGTTAGTTAGTTAGTTGTAGTAGTTAGTTAGTTAGTTAGTTAGTTAGTTAGTTAGTTAGTTAGTTAGTTAGTAGTTAGTTAGTTAGTTAGTTAGTTAGTTAGTTAGTTAGTTAGTTAGTTAGTTAGTTAGTTAGTTAGTTAGTTAGTTAGTTAGTTAGTTAGTTGTTAGTTAGTTAGTTAGTTAGTTAGTAGTAGTTAGTTAGTTAGTTAGTTAGTTAGTTAGTTAGTTAGTTAGTTAGTTAGTTAGTTAGTTAGTTAGTTAGTTAGTTAGTTAGTTAGTTAGTTAGTTAGTTAGTTAGTTAGTTAGTTAGTTAGTTAGTTAGTTAGTTAGTTAGTTAGTTAGTTAGTTAGTTAGTTAGTTAGTTAGTTAGTTAGTTAGTAGTTAGTTAGTTAGTTAGTTAGTAGTTAGTAGTTAGTTAGTTTAGTTAGTTAGTTAGTATAGTTAGTAGTTAGTAGTTAGTTAGTTAGTTAGTTAGTTAGTTAGTTAGTTAGTTAGTTAGTAGTTAGTTAGTTAGTTAGTTAGTTAGTTAGTTAGTTAGTCTAGTTAGTTAGTTAGTTAGTTAGTTAGTAGTTAGTTAGTTAGTTAGTTAGTTAGTTAGTTAGTTAGTTAGTTAGTTAGTTAGTTAGTTAGTTAGGTAGTTAGTTAGTTAGTTAGTTAGTTAGTTAGTTAGTAGTAGTTAGTTAGTTAGTTAGTTAGTTAGTTAGTTAGTTAGTTAGTTAGTTAGTTAGGTTATTAGTTAGTATTAGTTAGTTAGTTAGTTAGTTAGTTAGTTAGTTAGTTAGTTAGTTAGTTAGTTAGTTAGTTAGTTAGTTAGTTAGTTAGTTAGTTAGTTAGTTAGTTAGTTAGTTAGTTAGTTAGTTAGTTAGTTAGTTAGTTAGTAGTTAGTTAGTTAGTTAGTTAGTTAGTTAGTTAGTTAGTTAGTTAGTTAGTTAGTTAGTTAGTTAGTAGTTAGTTAGTTAGTTAGTTAGTTAGTTAGTTAGTTAGTAGTTAGTTAGTTAGTTAGTTAGTTAGTTAGTTAGTTAGTTAGTTAGTTAGTTAGTTAGTTAGTTAGTAGTTAGTTAGTTAGTTAGTTAGTAGTTAGTTAGTTAGTTAGTTAGTTAGTTAGTTAGTTAGTTAGTTAGTTAGTTAGTTAGTTAGTTAGTTAGTTAGTTAGTAGTTAGTAGTTAGTTAGTTAGTTAGTTAGTTAGTTAGTTAGTTAGTTAGTTAGTTAGTTAGTTAGTTAGTTAGTTAGTTAGTTAGTTAGTTAGTAGTTAGTTAGTTAGTTAGTAGTTAGTTAGTTAGTTAGTTAGTTAGTAGTTAGTAGTTAGTTAGTTAGTTAGTTAGTTAGTTAGTTAGTTAGTTAGTTAGTAGTTAGTTAGTTAGTTAGTTAGTTAGTTAGTTAGTTAGTTAGTTAGTTAGTTAGTTAGTTAGTTAGTTAGTTAGTTAGTAGTTAGTTAGTTAGTTAGTTAGTTAGTTAGTTAGTTAGTTAGTAGTTAGTTAGTTAGTTAGTTAGTTAGTTAGTTGTAGTTAGTTAGTTAGTTAGTTAGTTAGTTAGTTAGTTAGTTAGTTAGTTAGTAGTAGTTAGTTAGTTAGTTAGTTAGTAGTTAGTTAGTTAGTTAGTTAGTTAGTTAGTTAGTTAGTTAGTTAGTTAGTTAGTTAGTTAGTAGTTAGTTAGTTAGTTAGTTAGTTAGTTAGTTAGTTAGTTAGTTAGTTAGTTAGTTAGTTAGTTAGTTAGTAGTTAGTTAGTT